AACAGAGAGCAAGAGCCAGCCCTCAAAGCCAGAGAGGAAAGACTGGAGCAAAAGGAGCATGAACTTTGTGTTTGAGAGAGACTAGCAGAAGACAAACTGGCCAGACAGAAAGCCTGGTAAAGAGCTACACAAGTTCCTGTCTCTGGCAGATAGTCCAGATCTTTTTGGTCTTCCATCCTCAGTAATTAAGAAGAAAGTTCATTTCAGTGGGGACAGTAAAGAGAACATCATGAGGAATGAGAATTCAGAGTCAGCTTGTCTCCAAGACCAGGTGCAAGGACCTAAAGAAGAGGCTGCATGCCATCCAGCTGCAGCCTGCAGCCTTGTCAGATGCTGAGAAAACGTATCAACTCTGCACTAGCCAGCAGAGACAAGAGCTGACAGTGTCTTAACCTTGCCAGTCTTCTCAAAATTGACACTTGACTGCTGTAGCTTTGGATTTTTGGTTCCATGAGCCATGCCTTTTTGTATTGCAAGAATGATATCTTAGGATTGCGTTGCTGTTTTTCAACAGTTACACAAGATGTCTGCAACTTTAATTTCGCTTTCTTCTTCTAAGAACACTCCATAGAAAGAATGATACTGTTTTGGTTGGTTGGCTTTTAATTCTGTGTGATTACTACCAGGAATATAGGATGTGACATTCTGCATCATGGGGGAAAATAATTTTAGGAAAAAAAATATTTACCCAAGAGTAGCACTTGCTGAGAAGTTTTAAGTGAGTGAGTGGTGTGCTTGCAACTGTCATGTCTACTTTTAAAAGGTATCTCTGATTTTAAGTGCTCTTGAACTTAGAAAACCTACTTGGCTATAACTGGTCACTAGTACAAGACATCTTGTTTATAAATATTCCATTGTAGGACAAGCCTGTTACTTGTGTGGAAATTTATCACTGTGGTATCTGTTGGCAATAATGGCGCCAATAGGTTTCAGTTCTTACTGCACCCTTAAGCTTCTGTTTTCCAGGGTCACAGTCCTGCCTCCCAGGGTCACAGTCCTACCTCAAGTCTCTCTCTCATTCTCTCTCTCTCTCTCTCTCTCCCTCCCTCTCCCCCTATTCTACCCAGCAATAAAGAATCTCTTGGCCAGATCCTCTCCAAGTGGTCACTTTTGGGGCCTATATTTCCTTACAGTATCTAAATTCTTTCATTCCTTCTGTGTAATAGTATGTGAACTACCTGTCATTTGCCCACATCTTTCCTAAATAAAATCATTCTTTAGTTTTCCTATAAAATAAAAATATTAAAATGGTTAAACTGGAAGGTTTTATGTTACATATATTTACTGCTTAAAAATTAATAATGCAACATACCAATACCCAAAATAATTAATTGAATTTTATACCTTAAGTGGGTGTTTTGTGTGGTATATGAATTATATCTCTGAATTTTTTTTTAAATACTATTTTTCATTTGTATACTTACTGAATATTGCTAGAGTTTTGTTTTGTTTTAGCTGGGTTGCACTTGTATGCTAGGGTTGCTGATACAAAGCACCACATACTGAGTGCCTTAAAAAACTGAGATTTATCCTCCAAGTTCTAGAGGCCAGAGGTCAGCATCGGCACGTTGTCAGAGTGGGCTTCTCATGGAGGCTTGCTGCCTCTCCTGCACGTTCCCCAAATTGTCAGTGTATCTATCCCCTGAGCCCTGCCTCGTGTTCATACCAAGTGAACCTTTTGCACATATCTCTCTGTCACATTTCTCCTTTTTATAAGGATGCATTCATGTTGGATTAGCGCCTACCCCAATAACCCCACTTTAACTTAATTATCTCTGAAGGACCCTATTTTTAAGGAAGGTCACATTTTGAAGTACTGGTGATAGGTCTTTAACATGAATTTGGGGAGACAATTCAACCCATTATACTTGTATTTTTCACTTGAGAGTATAGTAAGCATTTTTACTTACAAAAAAAGGCACATACATAATTTTAATGATTTTAAATATTTAAGAAGACTATCCACATGGTTCTCTACAATTAAACTTTGGCTATTTTGACCTTTGTAAGATTGTAACTCCCAACTCTTTTATGCCATGCTTTTTCTGTGTCATTCTCTTAGAATAGGTAGAAATGAAATTAGCAAGTCATTTTAAGGCATTTGTGGTATTTAAGACATTTGTGGTATTCCACAGGTCTGCAAATATGAGAGATCCAAAAAGTTGCAACTGGTTTTTGCATTTCTTGACTTATTATGGATTGTTTGTTGATCATATATTCTGTTGGTAAATTTTCTCTTTATTTGTACATTTAATTTTGTAGTCCTAATGTTTTTCTTATCAATTCAGATAAATTCTTTACATAGTAGAATATTTTCTTTTTCATATTTTCAGCAATTGTAATATAAATTTATTATTTGTTCTTTAATTTTGCTGTTATTTGTTTTTAAAATTATAAAAGAATTATTTTCTCTTTCCTCAGTGGTTCCTTCTGTTGCTTCAAAGCTTGGCTTCTCCTTTTCTTCTTAGAGTTTTTGTAATTATTTAATTTTGTTTTCTTTTGGATGTTTCTGTGGTATTTAAAAAGTATTTACTTCCTTAATCATTTGGAATTTGTTTTGCTAAATGGTATAAAATGAGAACTCTTTGTTCTTTCATTGCTAGCTGGTTATTCTAACTCCATTTATTTATTAATCATGCCTTCCTCATTGACTAAAGTTGCTTTTTATATCGAATTAAATTTATTGTAGTGGAGATCTGTTGTCATACTTTATTAAAGACTTATATGGGTCTTAACATCAAAAAGGGTTTTCCCTTTACCCCTTCCTTTTTTGAGATGTACTTTGTTGTTTTTAGAAGTTTATTCATGGCCACAGACATCCCTCCTGTGCCTGGCCCTCCTCCACCTTTAAAAAGATCATTTCGTTAAAATACATGAAAGATAATTTGAAAAATACTGAATGCATGTACATTTATCTTCCCTTTCAAGTACTTGGTATTTTCTACTTTGTTTGAAACCTTTTATAAAGACTTGTAGGTTTTTCAGAGAAATTACTCATTGTGTGTTAGTATATGGTAGTTTTTGTTTGAGTTTATGCTAGTAATGAAACTGCATTATATTTTCTTATTGATTGTTTTAGTATCTAGAAGTGTTTTTGATTTATCCTATACTTTTGTCTTACTTTACTCTATCAATTCTAACACTTCAGTATATTCACTCATATTTTCTAGGTGAATAATTACATGGAAATGACATTTTCACTTGTCTCTACTATTCCTGTCTGTTAACTTTTTCACATGATAGACAGAACGTCTAAAATTGCTATACACAAGGGTGACAATACAAAGACACCCTTTTGTTGATACTGTTTCTGAATTTACTAGATGTACTTCTGATGTTCCACTAAGTATTATTTTGTCTGATAGCTTGAGATGACTACTTTTTTAAACCTTCAAGACTTAAGAACTCTTAAGGTTTTATTGTAGGACTTTATCTGATACTTTTGGGCAAGGGTATCTCAAGAAAATCATTTGGATTTTTAATCTTTCAAAATAATGCATTCATTAATACATTTGATAATGTTAAATTACCTTCATTACCCACAGTTAAACCCATTGTTTCGTGGCAGCTTGTTTTTTTTTTCATATGATTTAATTCTGTTTTTCAGCATTTTACTTGTCTTTTTACATTCTTAATCAATGTGATAAGCATCTATAACTTTAATTGGTGGTATCTTTGTTAGGTCTGGTTTCAGGGGAATTTTTCTGGAAATTTCTTGCACCTGTTGTTGCCATCCCAACAACCAGCTAACAGAACAGGAGAGCAGAAAGGTTCCTGAGTGACTAGAAACATGACATGGTGTAGGTGAGAGGCCGGGGCCGTGTGGCCTTCTAGGCATCAGTTCACAGAGATGCTAAAGAGCAGGAATTCCACTTGCCTGACCCAACTGTTCTCAGTTTAAGCAGAGTTTCGCAGGCCATGTGACGATCTGTGTCTGGCAGTGATGAGTGTTTATAATAAATGGTTAAATGCTACAGCAGGCACCCCCAGGCACTTTCTTGGGTCGGCATTAATTCCTTTGTTCTTTTTAAATTATATGCCACACATGTAAAGAAGCTAGGACATTTTCCCTTCAGCTTTAAATCGACTACAATTACCTGTTTTTGGCTCTTCTGACTGGCTTCTAAAAAAGACACTGTGTCCTCCCATTCCTGATCCCTCCTTGTCAAAACAGCCAAACCCATCCATTCTCTTAGCTGTAAAAGTTTTATTGCTGCTTGCTTCAAGAAAAGGGGGAGAACAAATCAAGGAGCCTCTGGAAAGGGAAAAGCTAAGGAAACTTTGCAGCCCTCATCTCTTTTAAGCTTGTTTCTGCAGCAGCTGGAAGAGCCTGTGGACTTTATATTTCTTCTCTCTCATGACTGAGAGGATATTTCAGTCCAATTTCTAAAAGAGGTAGATTTTTAATCAAGTCTCTCCTCTTCTTTAGTGTCCTACCTGAAAGCCAAGAGACCTTTTTCCTACTGTGAACATGAAGGAGGTGTTAGGTTAGCCCTTTGTCATTTCTCCTGGACTACTGCAAAAGCCCCTTTTCTTTTTCTTTTGTATTGTCTAGCCCTACCATCCCTCCCCATTTTAATCTCTGAAACATATGAATTTGCTTAAAACTTTCTGATTGTTCCTTATCAGATACAAGATGCAGTTAGATTTTTCCTCACTCCATAAATCAAATATTCAAATACATCAAAATTCTAAATAGAAATTTAAATATAAAACTATAAGTCATGTAAGTACTACAGAAAGTTCAGGTAACTATATAACTTGGTGTTATATAGTTGGCTTTAAAAAAAATAGCCACAAAGACACAGATGTCAAGGAATATAAACTGAGGAAAATGTTTGCAACATATGGCAGAGAAATAATAGTCTTAAATATACATTTTGTGTGAGAATATACAAAATCATATGTAGTTTTATGTCCTGTCCCTTATAAAAAGGAGATATTATTCATTATTTTGCTATTCTTAAAGAATGACTAATCTTTTCTTATTATTTCTGTAGCAAAAACAAATTAGTTACTCACCAGGAATATGCAGCATAGAACATCAGCAAGAGATAACTAAACTGAAAACTGATTTGGAAAAGAAAAGTGTCTTTTATGAAGAAGAAATATCTAAAAGAGAAGGAATACATGCAAATGAGATTAAAAATCTGAAGAAAGAGCTGCATGATTCAGAAGGCCAGCAACTTGCTCTCAACAAAGAAATTATGGTTTTGAAAGACAAACTAGAAAAAACTAGGAGAGAAAGGTAAGAATTAAGTTATTTACTCATCCAATAAATATTTATTCAGTATCCATTGTACATAAAGTTCTAGAGCTACACAGGCCACAGACACATTATAGTTCTCAAGGAGTTCAAAGTCAAGATTTGTGAGTAGAAAATTACAATAAACATGGCCAGAAAGCAAGAAGGACAAGGCCAGGTGCACACATAGGACAGGCACAGAAAGTAACCTTGGTACATTGAGGCTTTTTTGATAAAACTAATTGTCAGCTGAGACCTAAGGAATGAGAAAGAAGTAGGTGGAAAAAAGTGTCCAGGCAGAGCTGGCAGAATGTTCTGAGATCCCAGGACAAAGAGAAGCAGGGCACATTGACTAGCTAAACGCTGCTTGCTGTGGTGGACACATAGAAAGATGGGAGTGCTGAAGAGCCATACTGGAAAGGAAAATGAAGGTAAGATCCTGAAATGTGAGGCACTTGCACTTTATCCTGAGGCCATGGAAAGAAGGAGACATGACTTTGGTTGTATTTTGCAATCACTTGCTACTGTGTGAGAATGGTTTGGAAGGAGCAGAGGAGGTAGGAATCCAGCTGTGAGAGACAAGGTGGTGGCCTCAGGCAGGGAGGGTGAGATGGGGAAAAAGTGCTCTGGGTTCACTAGTGTACTGAGAAGATGGGACCTGGCAGGAGAAATGTTCAGTGATACTCAGGTTTCAGGCAACTGAGTGTATATTACTGTCATTCCCAGCTTAATTCTAAGCCCAGTTTACTCAGCTTGATGCATGTGTTCACTCAACAAAATTATTTTAGGACCTGCTATGTTGGAAGCTCTTGGATGTAGCAGTGAACAGACAAAAAGATGCCCATCCTGTGGAGATTTCTTTTAGTGTGGCAGAAGACAGTAAAGAAAATAAAATGTAAAACACTTGATATCATGATCAGTGCTAAGAACAAACAATCAAAAAAAATATATATATATATATGTATATATATATGTATATATATGAAATGAGCTGAGTACTGGTGACTCACGTCTGTACTCCCCGATTCTTGGGAGGCTGAGCTTGGAGAGATCAGTCTGAGGCCAGCCCAGGCATACAGTTGAGATGGACAAGTCCCCATCTCAACCAATAGCTGGGCACTGTAGTGTGCACCTGTCATCCCAAAATACGCAGGAGACTAAGATTGGAAGGATTGCAGTTCTGGGCCAGACTGGGCAAAAAAGTTTGTGGGACCCCATCTCAATGGGAGAAGAGCTGGGTTTGGTAGCATGCACCTGCCATCCTAGCTATGGCAGGAAGTCTAAAATAAAAGTAGTTTGGCCAGCCTGGGCATAAAGCAAGACCCCAGCTCCAAAATAACTAGAGCAGAAAGGGCTGGAGTGTGGCTCAAGGAGTACAGCACCTGCCTTGCAAGCATGTGGCCCTGAGTTCAAACCCTAGTACTACCCAAAAAGAAAGAAAAGGAAATGGCTATGAAACATTAATGGGAGGATTAAATTTACGCATGCATGCACATGCACACACACACACCCGTACACATATGAGAGAGTGATTGTCCAGGGATAATTACACTGAGGAATTGATTTCTTTGGAAAGTTAGGGAGAGGGAGAGATTTATATTGTTGTGTGAGAAGAGCATTCAACATAGAGAAGAACATGTCTGTTCAAAAAGTAGTAAGGAGGCCAGTGTGGGTGACGTAGAGGTAAGGAGCAGAATAGTAGAAGTCAGGGGTCAGGAGCCAGGCTGATTAGCTCAGTGTTTACTTGAGTGAATCTTGCAGAGAATTACTGCAAGATTTAAAGCAGAAAAGTGCAAGTACTAACATGTGTTTTATCAGGATTACTCCTGGCTGCTGGCTGCGAATTAAATAAGAGCGGAAGCAATGAAACTGCCTAGAAGGTGTGTGGTAGTCCAGGCAGAAGGTAGTTGGTCTAGCCTAGATTTGTGGCAAAAGGACAGTAAAAATGTTCAAATACAATGTCCTTTAAGGGTTGGAGGTGTGGCTCAAGTGTGAGGCCTCGAGTTCAAACCCCAGCACTACCAAAACAAATAAGCAAACAAACATTTAAAACCCTGTAATGTCCTTTACAAAGATAATGGTGTTGGTTGGTGGATTGGATATGTGATGTGGGAATAAAAGAAAGAATCAAGTGCAACATGGTTTTTGACCCAGGCCATTGACAGGTGATAGTTACCATTTAGAGGAGACGACTACACGAGAAGGAAGCTTGGGATGAGAAATTACCTACCAAGAGCTTGTTTCAGATAGTCACATTTGCAGTGCTTATTAGACATCCAGTTGGATATGAAGTAGGCTGATTTATAGATAGCTTGGGGCATGCCAGGCTTGCCACTAGGCAAGTGGCAGAGAGTGTGCCCTGAATTCAGTCCCCAGTAACACACAAAAAAGTATTATTTTAAAAAATCTGTAGACCACCTGGATTTTCTTGGGTGAGGATGCCATCCTGAGAGTCTGGCTCACAAGTCTGCAGAAGTTGGAAGGTGAGGCAGAAGCAGTAACGTAGATAGACAGAGAGAACCAGGACTAATTGGAAGGAAACCAGGCATGTCTGGTGTCCTAGAACCCTGATGAAGAAAGCAAATCAAGTAAGATGAGGTCCGAGCCAAGAAAGTTAAGTACCATGCAGTGGCGTTTAAGTTTCAGAATTTGAAGATCATTGGTGATTTTGATTAGAACAACTTCAGTAGGGAAGTAGGGGGCAGAGACTCCACAGTGGGAACAAGAGGAGATTAAGTGAGCAGAGTGTAGGTAGCACTGCTGACACTTGAAGTTACCACAAAAGCAAGCAATGAAATGGATAGTAGATGGAGGAGAAATTTATCTGAAAGAGGTTACTTTGCTGTTTGTCTTTTATGTATGTTTTTAAAGAAATAATGGCACACTTGTAATCTGATAAAAATTATCTAATGATTCAGGAGAGACAAACCCCAGTACCACAAGAAAAAAAGTCCTAGGGAAATGCATAAATTAAGAGATTGGCCTTACACAGTCTTGCTTTTTTTTCCCTACAGTAAAGGAAGAGAAGGTGGGTGTTATCTGCGTAGGTGAAAGTGGCTGGAGGGGCAGGAACCTGTTTGTGTGTTGAGTTGGGTGTATGGAATGTGAGGGGCTTGGAAGATGTTGAGCTGGCAGGTTGAAGCTCACAAAGGCTTCAGGGATGCTGAGGTTGTCAGCATAACAGATGATGATTGAAGCCAGGTGAGTGGTTGAAGCGAGCAGACAAGCACCTGAGACAAAGTTCTGAAAAACACAGGAGTGCATGGAAGGATAGAAAGAGTCCACAAAGGCAACGGAGAGCAAACCAGAGTTGGCTGTGCTAATTCAGAGCACTATCACCAGGCCAAGAGAAAGCAGCATTTATGAGGGCTGGCCGTGCTGTCAAGGGTTGATTGGATGGGTAACATCAAGCCAGGTTGTTTCCAGAAAGCGGGTTTGACTTTTTTTTAGGTGGTGGAGGCAGAAGTCAGATTTTGGTGTGGAAGAGAATAGCTAGGTGATAAGAAGGAAAAATGTAGCAAAGTATGTCAAGTGAGGGGGAGACAAGGACGTGCAAGACTTTATTATTTTTTTAATCTGAGGGTTAAGCTTGCTTAATACTAATAGAAAGCATTAAGAATGGTTTCACATGAAGATTTTGCTCAGTCTATTCATGTACTTTTTTTGTGAAAGACTTCTGTGCAGCCTTGTTTTCGTTGTTCGTTCTCAGTTAACTTGGGTGTCATGAAGGACTGAGCGTAACTGTATAAGCAAAGTGGAATGTTTGCCTGGAGACAGAATGCTTTATTTTCCTTGAATTTATAATGTAATCATAACTTATCTTCATTCATTTAGTGGTGTGGGCGATTTCTATGATAATCTATTACTCATGTTCTTTATTTACTTAAAAACAACTGTAAAATTGCCCGGGACTGATCCACATTGATTTTCGTTTTGTTGCTAACATCCTCCATTGAGCTGCCATGCACAGAAGTCTGTTTGTCTACATGACAATGTCATTTTCGAAAACTGACTCCCTTTCTCATGTAGGAGGCTGTTGGAACAGTATTTACTTCTAAACAGTCTTGAATAAGCCTTGTCCCCACAGCTGTCATTTCATATAGCTTTACGGTGTTAAATGTCATGCCTAAGTTTGTGTCTAGATGTAGAAAGGAGAAAAGCCCAAGAATGTTGAAAGAACTGTTAGAAGTTTGGTTGTGAGTTTTCTCTGCAATCTAGAGCTAGAACAAGAATTCATAATGGATTCCTATATCCTCTTCCTTTCCCTATACTTCCTGATAGATGCATAGTCAAATAGGCGAGCCTACTCAGGATGTCTGTAAGTCAGAGGTATTTCCCTCAGATTTTCAAATGAACAGTAGGTGAGTGTTATCAAGCAGATAAGTCTATTGTTGAAAACAGGAGTGTGACTTTTAAGAGTAAGGAAAAGATGGGAATTTAAACCAGTCAAGCTATATGTAAACAAAGCAGCTGGAACAGCAGTCAACCTGGAATGTCATTATTTTCAATAAAAGCTCTTGTTGTGGCATTTTGTACTCAGAAAAGTGTCCTCTGAGTCTTCTTAAGCAGCTGAGCAGTCTGCATGTAGTGAGTCCACTCTGATGTTCTACCTCCCCGAGCCAGGGGCTCTGCCATGTGCAGGGTGGGCCCCATGTCTCAAGTTTATTGATCGTAGGCCACTGTCAGGTCCAAGCTTCCAGTTCCCAGCCTAGCAGTAAAAAAACTCTATCTCAGTATTGAATAAACACAGTAAGCCACAAGCCCCATATTACTGTGTCCATTTGGCACATTTGGCTGTCTTTAATCTTTTATTTTAACCCCCTCCCCTGCCACTGTTAGAGTTCATTCCTATATCTGCCTTGTGCCGGGGTCTGAATTGCCATAGGCCTGAAGACAATGATAAGTGTTTGGGTAATTGTCACTCCTTCCCTCCCCTTCCCCACTGTGAAGTAAGTATTCTAGGTGAAGCTAGTGCAAGATGAAGAGAAAGGGGGTTGCCTCCGGTTATGGGGCCATGGAGGAAGGGATAAGGCTGCCTCTACCTGAAAGAAAGCCTTCACAGTTGTCAGCTTCATCTGTTGCTGCCCAAAGGTTCCCATCCCATGTGTGCTGTCTCTCCTTCTGAATCTACATTCTTAGCCTGAAAGATTTGATCGCTGTCTGCCTGTGGACTTTTGTGCCTCCTGGTGGGATGGCTGAGAAGAGTGGGCCATTGTTCCTTTGGTGTTCCAGACAAGATGGATCCCAGAGTCTCCTCATAGATGTCACAGAGATTGAGGGTCACCTTACCTAACGAGAGGTCCCAGTCTTTAAAACTGAGATCCAGGGTCTGGGGAGCTGTTCTAGACCAAGAGAGAGTGGAGTAGATGGGACTAAAGGGGGAGCATGTGTTTCTCACTGCTCCAGAACTGGACAAGGAGGGAGACCTTGTGGGGGGCTGGCAAAACTGAAGTGGCCCATATATTTGGACAGTAGTGTTTTAGTGATATTGATTCTTCAACTTAATTTGGAAGATTCCTTCCAAAAGTCAAGCATGTCTTTGTCTTTAGAAATACTGTCTGGAATATTTAAAGGCCAGCTGCCTCCCAGTGGTTCAGAAGAATAGTGAACTTGGCACACAGAGTGAGGGAACAAGTGAGTGAAGTGTTGATCACTGGGGGATCTGGAAAGAAGATGCAGGAGCTCCTTTACTGGTCTTGTAACTTTTCTGTAAAGTTGAATTATTTCAAAGTGAATCTTTAAAACATCTAAATTTAGGTATAGATTAATTTCTAAATACTAACAAAACACATGGAATTCTAATGAATTTAGAGAAGAGGCTAGGCAGTGACTGTCCTAGTCTTAAGGGTCCATGACTTTGGGTTTTAGAAGTATTGTGACACATATGCACAAGGGAAAATGTCTAATTTGGTCTCAGACTAAATTTGTGTTTAATTTAATGAATGTAAAACCAGATGGCAATGCTTGCATCCATTTTGCTCATTCGCTTTGGTAAGACCTGCCCGGGTCATTCCATCTAAATTAGTCACCCCAGCCCAAATAGCACTTACGGCATGCTACATTTTATTTTCTTTATAGAAATTATCTGAGGTTAGTTCACTTACTCATTGTCCATCTTCCCTGCACTGGAATGCCAGCTCTGGGAGAGCAGGAGCTGTGTACGGGCTATGACATGTGTTAGCCCTTGTAGGTTCTCTAAACATATGTGTTAGGTGGGTGAAAAAGCCAGTTGACATGACTGCATTGTCAGTTCTTGGAAGGCGTTTTCACCAGGTTGTCACTGCATGTTATCATGTTCCGTGTGGATACCACTCTCATAGTTAACTCTGGGGGTTTACTATATAACTATTGGAAAAATTAAGTTTCACTTGACCTTTGACTTAATTCCTCTTTCATGTTTTGAATTGTGTTAGTCAAAGTGAAAGGGAAGAATTTGAAAATGAGTTCAAACAGCAATATGAACGCGAAAAAGTATTATTAACTGAAGAAAATAAAAAGTTGACAAGTGAGCTTGATAAGGTGAGTGATTCAATGTCATTTGTATTAAGCGCAAGCTGGATGTTCAACATCACAATAAAACTGTGGGCATGATTGTGTATTTAGCTTGCATTTTTTATCTAATGTCCTCTTTTTCTAAGCTATGAGAGCTTATGTGGTTCAGGCAAGTTACAATCCCAAGGTCTAAAGTCTTCTGGAGGGAGTGTGGCTTGTCTCCCCTCATTCAGTCCACCTTTTCTGCAGCCTCTGTATTTCACTTTCTATCCATTCTCTTTTTTCTGTTCTCCGTCATATTTATCCCTTGCCCTGTCATTGCTGGCCAAGCTCAGGTTAAGTGGACACTGGCCCTGGTGAAAGCAGCTATGATTTCATGTTTGCAGTGGAGAACTAACTGGTAATGACTGGAAATGATACTGGGATAGGTGGCAATCTAAAGAAACTGATGCTGCCTAACTGCAGTTGTAATAAAGAGCTTAGATGCAGTCCTGGGTATGAGCACAATGTCAGATCCTAAGTCTCCCTGCTGCCATTCTGCCTGGCTCCTGCCAGTTTCTAACAAGCCACCCTAAAAACCTAATATCAACACAAGTCTTAAGCTTCTTTATGTTTTAATCAGAAAGGTGGCTAATTGCATTTTATAAACGACTTCCGGGTTTTTCTCCAATAAAGGTATTATATTCAATAACAGATTGAAAGGCCATAACTAAATACTTACAAAATGGAGTAAGTACTCCTTAAGTATTCCTTTTCAGTTCTCACAAAGCTCTCTGCTTTTCTCTCACTTCTGTATGATTATTTAGCATTTTTAAGTGCTGTATAAGCACTTAAGGCATTTTAAAATTGACTTTTCTTGTTGGTTTGAAAATTACTTGAGAAAAAATACTATTGTTCATTTTGTAAAGTCTTATAAAGCTAATGTACAAAAACGTGGGAGGTGGCTGAATAGCAAGTAGCATAGATGGATTTTTAAAGCATGAATATAGTATATGAACGTTACTATATCACTGCAATAAGAAGGACGATGCTTGACCTTTATGTAAATAGGTCACATGATTGTTATTTCATGTATTTGAATGATATGACTACAGATGTCACTTCTATCTATAAGATAGATTTTTCTAAGAATTACTGTGAGGTAAAAAATATATATAAGCAGAGTCTAGAAGGCCTCTTCGTGCAGCGTTACTAAGCTACCTACCTAGTAAATTCTTTTATTATAGTTTAAGAAAAATTGTATTGGAAAACAACCAAACTGAATTTAGAGCATTTTGAATTCAATCCTTGGTTTATTTTCATTATTAGCTATAGAGTTCTGCTGTGTTTACCAAAAATAACTATTTAGAGAGATTTTTTTTAAAAAAAATACTCTTTGAATTAAAACTCTCTTGTGATCTAATGCATCCATAGCAAGGGGCTTCCTCAAGCTTGGTATGCACACTGAAGTCTGTCTGCTGTGGCCTGAAGGAATGGTATGGGATATGAGTAGCACTTTGAGCGCAAATGCATGTGGTCAGCCAGTGTTTCTTTGCAAGCGCTCCTTGAGAAGTAGGGGAGGCTTGGGATCTCTGCTTTATCTCTGGCATTTCACTTTCACTTCTCGCTCAGCTTAGCTCAGCCCACCCTGTTGTCCACATCATCACTGTCCTCGTCACTGTCCTTCCACTTATCTTCCGGTTTGGCTGAGTGGTTATTTTCCCCCAAGAATAGCCAGTGGTTCCATTGGGAACCAGCTGAAGAGACCTTGGCCTTTACAACTGCATTGTCCAACAAAAGCCTATGGCAGTTATTAAGGTGATTTTCATATTTTTAAATTTCAAAAATAAAAACTAAAGAAATACAATAAAAATGGGTGATGTTTTCAGAAGTCCTTAATCTTTGTTTTTTATTAAAAGAAACTTACTGCAAATAAAATTATTCCTATATGCCAGAGAGTAAAACTATATGGTTTGCAGAAAGAAAACATGTAATTTGATTTTCAATTACTATCTTACACAAAAGCAACATTACAAAAATGTGGGAAATTTTTTGTTTGGCAGTGGTGGGATTTGAACTCAGTGCTAGGCAGGCACTCTACCACTTGAGCCACTCCACCAGCCCATGGGAAATTTTTAACGTGAAGGTTACCCATAATCTCATCACCATAAAACAACTATTTTAATTTGTATGATCCTTTCCAGGTTTGCCTGTATTCATATTATTGCATAATTGCAGTCATGTATATATTCCATTAACTAAGAAACCTTTTCATTTAAAATGCATATTTTTCCATATTCCTAGGAGTCTTAAAATTATTATAAGCTAGACACATCAACATACAAATAGCAAAACCTTCCAAACACGTGAACTCATACTTAGGTAAGATTTACCGCATATAGGTCCTCTGAGTTACATAACTCATTCATATTTCACAATAGCTCTAAAATATGATCTATTATTCTTACCACTTTATTGGTGAGATTATTGGGCCAAAGGAGAGTTAAGCTACTTTTCTAATCAATTCAGTGTCTATTCAGTGGGAAAAGGATAATCTTACCGCATGTTGTTGGATGTCTGAATATCAGTGCCCCACTAAAAGAACATAGATCATTATCTTATACAAAACTTAATTCAAAGAGAAGCATAAGCTGAAATATGTACAGTTTACATAAGAGAAAATCTTTGTGATTTGGGATTGAAGAGTAGCATTAAAAGCTCAACCTATGAGGAGAAAAGTAATGACACATTGAATTTTATCAAAATTTGAAAACAGTATTAAGAAAATAAAAATATGCACACATGGAGATAAATATTTACAGATCTGCTAAAAGACTCGTATTAATATATAAAGAACTCTTAAAATCTTGCAACTGCAATCTTTTTTAAAGAGGTTAAAAAAAGATGTTTTGTAAAAGATGATTTATTAATAACAAATAAGAACCTGAAAAGGTGTTCACCATCATTAGAAAACGTGACTCAAAACCAAGTGAGATACTATTGTGCACTCTCAAGAATGGCTGCCATGTTCAGTCATTCATGCCAGCTATTGACAGGGTCCATTTATCAACTTGTGAATGGATCAGCAACGTACATATCCATACAAGCAGGAAAATGAGGTGAGCTTTATTACTGAGACCGAACATAATAAGTGAGAGAAGACCAGTGCAAAGACTACATATTGCATGATTCCACTGATAGGAAATTTCTAGAAAAGCAAAACTACACACACAGAAGGCAGTCATTAACTCCTAGAACTTAGGATGGGCACCAGGATCAGCTGCAAAAAGGCAGAGAGGAAATTTCTCATTAGCAGTACTCCAAAACTGTAATATAGATCATTGAACAGTGATAGGAGACTTTTATGTTAGGTAAATTATACCTCAATAAAATTGTAAAGAAACAAAAAGCTGATAAATTGTATTCTAAGAGTTGACTGGCACACCCTGAAATATAAGACTCAGAATCCTTATTTGTAATACCAGTCTGGGTGTGTACTGGTAGTGATAGTGCATGGACCTCATTTCCTTCTGCAAGGACAGGGAGGTTAGAGGTAGGAATTGTGAACCTATGTTTGTACATAAAGTGATTTCACCCTTTGGCAGAGGGGTAATAATGAAGCTTGCAATTTGTACCCAGCCTGTCTATTTCTGCACAGAAGTTTATATTGAGAACAAGCACTTTGAAAAAAACCAAAGCCTTAAGGAGAATTCCTGATAACCTAGAATGAGAAATTGCAAATTATGGTCAAATCTAGCCCACAGACTAATTTTATATGACCTACAACCTAAGAATGATCTTCACATTTTTAAGTGGTTATTTTAAAGGAGAATAATATGTAATGATACCATACATTGCTTACAAATGTGAAAATATTTGCTATCTGATCCTTTACTATAAAAGTTTACATACAGATACTGACTTGGAGCGTGATTTTGGCCTGTAGTAGTTAGGTTTCTCCAGAGAAACAGAACCACTAGAGGTGTGTGGGGATATGGAAGAAGAGAAGGAAGAAGAGAGACAGGAGGAGGAGGAAGAGGAGGAAGGAGAAGTAAGGGGAGGAGGAGGAGGAGGAGTGCTTGCTATTATCAGCTTCAGTGATAAGAAGGATATGGAGCAATGAAGAGTGTTTTTGAGTGGAACATTGTGAGTTACCCAGTGTAACAACAGCTGTCTGTGCACTTTGAAGTCCTGGTCCTAAGAGTTACCCATGTCTTAAAACTACCTTTCAGGTTACCACTTTGTATGAGAACTTGAGTGTGCGCAACCAGCAGTTAGAAGAAGAGGTAAAGGATCTAGCTGACAAAAAAGAATCTGTTGCACATTGGGAAGCCCAAATCACAGAAATAATTCAGTGGTGAGTGCTCTTTTAAAATGGGTCTTTGTAGGTATCTAGTTGGTGTGGATTCCAAGAAACTGTTAACATACTCCTCACCTGTCTGTTTGTGATGGAAAGTAAGTTACTTTGAAAAGTACGGCTTTATTGCTGAGCTATTGCTTGTGCTCTGCTGAGTGTTCTGTTACGGGCTGCAGCTACCTAACTCAACAGTGTCCCACGCCAGCTTTTAAAACTTGATGTTTCTTCCTAAGAATAGAAATATTACCCCTCCTAAGTCAGAGCTCGTCCTCAAGGAACTGAAGAAACATGGACTAGTTGTAGACATTCCTTTCTAAGACAGATAAAGAAAGCCTGAGAAAAATTTAGACAGTTAACTACTGTGCTTCTGAGTACAACACAGTAGTCTATAGATGGCATTTTAAAAACCTTGAACGATTGCAATGTAGTTTTACCAGCTACTCTCTAAGTCCAGGACTTGATTTCTATTATTTAGCCTGGTGACCTTCATGTTGAATGATCATCATGGTGCTTGTTAAAATCTGCATGTTTTATACAGAGAAAGTAGAATCTGGTGAGGGCTTTTATTTTCTAATAAAATAGGTAGCTTTTGATATTTAACTTTTTTACCCTTTATATCAAATCAACTAGTTTATTTATATGTCTACAGATAAATGAATTTGTTGGGAGTTTTAGTTTCCTGTTCTCTTATTTTGGTTTAAGCATTTTTCCATTTTTCCTTACTTAAGAGCTTCCTTTTTAAATAAAAGCAAAAGTGAACAAACACTGAGTTTTTAAGTAAGTCTACTCAAATGACTCAAATATTTTGATCTTGGCTTGACTATAGAACTCTGGGTTAACTTATCTTTGGGTTATGAATATGCCTGTTCAGTGTGTAGAAAGGAGAATGCCAGACTGGAACCTTAGCGTGTCCAAACAGTGCAGTTACTACAGTGTGCACTAATGTTTCATCTATATCCACATCATCAAGTCTACATTTTTGAAGCAAAAGCATTTTAATTTTCACCCAGTTTATAATCAAAAAATGAGTGAACTATAACAAAAGGTGGAGCTGAAAATGACTTCGGAAGGCCTAAAACACTGCTGTTTCCCTTGATCCCATTCAGAGACAGGGCTCTCACCATGTAGCACAGGCTGACCTTGAGTTCATAATCTTCCTGTACCAGCCTCCTGAGTGCTAAAACTACAGGTGTGTTCCACCATGCCAGCCAGGAAAGAAGCTTTAAGCGTGGTCTCTAGAAAATCTTAACAAGAAAGATGGAGGTGACAGTTCTTACATGATGTCCTACACACTAACTTGTGCTTTTCACGTTCAAGCAGAGTATGCTGAAGAAATCAGAAGGAACAAGGAAGTCTCTTTGTAACAATTATTCCTTAAAATGCGATAGTATCTCGGATAACAAAATTAGTTCAGCCACCTCTGGGTTTCTGTGGGGGATTGGTTCCAGGGCCCTCCCACGCCTCCCCAAAATCCCTTCTCTAAAATGGTGCCATATCTGCCTGCACTGTCTGCATCCCTCCCACTTGCTGTAAGTCCTTTGATCACTTACAGTAGCTTAATGTAAATACTGTGGAAATAGCAGCTCTGCTGTGTATTGTTGAGGGAATAGTGACAGGTGAAAGTAAGTACACATTCAGCACAGGTGAAAGATGCTTTCAGGTATCTTTAGTCCATGGCTGGTGAATCTGTGCATGCAGAGCCCCTGGGTGCAAAGACCTGACTGTGTCTGATAGTAACATACTTATTCCTTGTTCTCAGAGTTCTCACCTGCTTTGAAAGCTAACACTCTGAGGTAAAATATTCAAGCATATGAAGAGCAGAGGACTCAGGGTATTTCCATTTTTTTTTTTTTTTCAAATTGGGAGCATTTGGGATTTGGGGTTTTCAGCTCGGAAATGGTCAACCAATAAAGTCTATGGAAATTCTCCAAAATCTGAAAATTTCAGAAATCTGAAACACTTCTGATCCCAGGCATTTCATGTGCAGGATATTCAGTCTATATGGTATTTCTGAAAACACTGAGATTAATAAGTTTCTATCACTTCTTTATGAAGCTTTAAAGTCATATATATCTCTCTGAAATTTTTCTACTGGTTTTCCTTCTGCGTCTCCTCTGCCTTTGTATGTGTGTGCTCCAGGGTCAGCGATGAGAAGGATGCACGAGGGTATCTTCAGGCCTTGGCTTCTAAAATGACTGAGGAATTAGAGGCCCTGAGAAGTTCCAGCTTGGGGACACGACCAACAGTAAGCTCTGCCAGTTCACTTATCATTTTAGAAAAAGAAGGCTCTGAACACGATATCATAAACTTGAATGTTTATGTCAATTTTTCTAGGCTGTTCCCTGCTGTAAAAGTTTTTATGAGAAATCATTTTAGGTTTTTTCCAGTTCGGGAAAATGTGACACATTGCTATTAGCTGTAATATGTTTGGATGACCATTATTGGAAATAACTATTTAAAAAATACTCATTTATGTGTGAGTATTTACAATTATTTCTGAGTTTAACGAGAGATATCTTTTCACAAGTAACATTTCTATTCTGTTCAGTTATTAGAGGCCAACAGGTACTTCTAAATTCACTTGATTTACTACATTTAAATGCTTAAAATAAGGACCTAACACACTGTCATATCATTTTACAGGACATGCCCTGGAAAATGCGTCGTTTTGCAAAACTGGATATGTCAGCTAGACTGGAGCTGCAGTCAGCTCTGGACGCAGAGATAAGAGCCAAGCAGGCCATCCAGGAAGAACTGAACAAGGTTAAAGCATCACACATCATCACAGAATGGTAAGACTAAAGACTGTAATTCTTCTAGAGTAACTTCTAAGTTCATTAAAAATTTGGAGAGAGACGATACGTGTTTAATTGCCTACTTGTTGCTTTTATTTTTTTTAAGTGATGACTAGAAAAAGTTATAAGGATTTGAAAAGGATTAGACACTCTCAAATCTTATGGCTAGTGGTGCAGTTTTCATACAGTCTTGTTTTCCAGAAAGTGAAATTAGTAGTATTAGGTAATAGTCCACTGTCTATTTTCTCCTTTATTTGTAAAGTTTAGTTGACTCTCAGATTTTATTCTATTAAATTCTAAATTCTCTCACATTCAGTAATACTATATTTGTATAAAAATGCAACATATGACCAGAACAAAATATGATCATCTGAATATTGTGACTTCTACCACAGATCTTTTACAAGTAATAGTTCTACTATGATAAATTTTGTAATGGGAAAGTATCTTTTAATTATAATTATTTTTGCTCCTTTATTTATTTTAAAAACCAAACTTGCAGTTGGCTAATGAGCACACTCCTCAGTTGTCACAATAGTGGAGCAAGTCATACTCCAGACACCCACATGACAAAGTGAAAAATCATGATTGTTGGATGTAAGCAGGGTTCAAACATAGCCACATCGGCACTGTGTAAATGAAACTATAAAGATAGAAACTCATTGGGAGCTTAGAATTTCAAAGGTTCCAAAAGCATGAAAAGAAATACTAATTCAGTTTTTAATGGTGTGAAGCCTTAGGCCTTAAACTGCAGCCATTAGTGTCTGGATCCCCTACAGAAGGATAGACTTTGTTTTAAGTGACACAGATAAAAATTAAGTATGTTTTAGTTAAATGTCATTGTGTGGCATTGAAACAACAACAACAACAACAACAAAAAACAGCATAAAGAGCTACTGAATATCATTCTCGTGTTTTAGTTTGGAATAACAGAGTCTTCTTGTACCCAGGATGTTGGAGTTTACATACTTGTTCATAAAGCAGGCTTACAAGTCAAATCACAAATTGTATGTTTTTGTACATGCTCCACTTTCCTGGCTGTCTCTGAGCAATGTCTAACACATCTCTAAAATTAACCTTTGATTTTAACATTTGTAGATAGTTTGGCTCAGGATTTTGTACAAAGGGGCAGATAGTAAACACCTTAGGCACCGAGATCCTTGAACTCTCACAGCTCCTTCCCTACTGTGCACAGCAGCAGGTGGTAGGCCAGGTCTGTCCTCCCTGCAGTAGTTTGCAGTCCCCTATTTTAACATGATTGACATGTAAGCCAAATAAGCCCCACTCTACACAACATGGCTCACTAACCAGCAATCAAAGTTAATGACTCTTTCCTTTCCCTTTATTTAAGTAAACTAAAAGACTCGGAGAAGAAGAACTTGGAACTGCTATCAGAAATTGAACAACTGATAAAGGACAGCGAGGAGCTTAGATCTGAAAAGGGTATGGGGATGTATGTTTGCGTCCGTGAGGACTCACTGTTCCATGATGAATATATGTTGTTCCCTGAGATCAGCTCAGTGTGTAGGTTGGAGAATTGTTCACATCAACAATCTGGCACTTGTATAGGAATGTCCGTGTATGCGGTGTGTATACGCATACCCACGCTTGGCAGGCTGGGCTCTGCGTCATTATGTTTTACTTATTGAACATTGTTTTAAGAATTTGTAGTAGCAGTCAGGTGTGATAGTGCACACCTAAAATCCTAGCAGGGGAGCCTGATGCAAGAGAAACTTATGTCAGATGTAAGCCTGGTCTATACAGCAAGACCTTGTCTCAAAAAAAGAAAAAAAAGGAATTTGTAGTAACAGAAGTCATTTTCCCTTAAATCTGACTATTCTTTCAGCATCATGATAATGCTTTTGTGACTGAAAAAAATTATTTTATAATGTACTTTGTAATGTCCTCAAATGTCATATAAGGTAATCTCTCTGACAGCGGCAGTGTGTCTTACTTTCAGAATTTTGTAAGGATACTTGAATAAGAGGGTTGGTTTGTGTGTATGTTTTTGGAGACAGCCCAGGCTGGCTTTGGACTCGATCCTCCTGCCTCCACCTCCCAAGTACTGGGATCACATTTATTAGCACTTTTTATGTTCCTACAATGTACTAAATCTTGTGAGAGACTTACTCCTAGGGCAGCTGAGAAAACAATATATGAAATAATAAAAGATGAATCTACCTCATTATTAACAGGACAATTCAATAATGAAGAATTATTCTGGCATTTCAGTGTCTTCTAGTTTAAAGAAGACACTTGACTTGCCCTGTGGGGTTTTCCAGAATTTATTAACATTTTCTTGAAAACTTAATTTTTTCATTATTTCACTAAAGTGGAATTAACTTGGAATGCTGTGTTATAAATGTCTTAGCTTCCTTTCCATAATGTAGATGTTAAGAATGCAAAGATTTAATGCAAAGAAATTCAGGAGGATATTTTTTAATAAAGGGATGTTTGTGTGCAGTTATCTGAAACACATTTTCCTGACAAAGACCATCTCCAAATACCAAACTAGATAATGGGTTTATATTTGGCCTAAGGCCTTCTCTGCCTATCCCAGCCTCAGGATGCACAGTGTGGTAGAGCTGGCAGAGTCTACATTTGCATGTAAAATTGTAGAGGACAGAGAGTAATCAAAAAAAAATCTGTCGGAATACTTGATGTTCAGTAAATTTTGGTGATTGAGTTTTTTAATGAACAATAAAAAAAAAAAAACCAGGAACTCAGATTAGGAACATAAGCCACCAACCACACTGAAGTGATAATCGTGCTTGGTTAGCTCATAAAGGGAGGAAGGGAGATACCTTAGTGAGAAGAGAAAGAACCCACAGGACGTTAATGACTTGTGGCCCCAAAGCAATTCAGTGTGAAAGGCACCAGTGCAGACTATGACTTGCCCATCAGATAACAGAGTACATCATTTTTTTAGATTCGATATGAACATAAAAATAAAGGACTTAAGTTTATCTCATTGCTGTGAGTGCATGTCAAAGAAAGCTTTTAAATTAAATTTGAACATTACAAAATAAACTTTCATTGTATGCTGAAACATAACATCCTGTGCTACTTAAATAATGTGATATTTACAAAATGAGGGCAAGGACCTTTTCTGTGCTTTGCTTTCTATCATATCCCCAGTAACGGGAACAGTTTCTGGTCCGTTGACTGAATGAATTTCTGACCATGTTGCCTGTCTAGTAACTGGTCTGTTCTCCAGGGTTGTAAGAAAGCCCACAGATGAGTTGAGAGCAGGTCCTATGGACTGTAAGCCACGATTTTCAGCCAGCTTGCTTTCTGTCTTGTCTTTCCAAGAATTTACCATCATTTGCATGTTTTGAGAAGTTATATAAGTTTATTGCCAGAGCCAAGAAATGTGTGGATTTTATAAAGTTCATCTGAGAAAAACCAGGGTTAGATTTTTCATTCTGTCAGCAAACCAGTACCTGAAATGAGAAGTTTTTCAAAATTAAGTACATTTATTTTTGTCACTGGATTATTTTATTACAACCTTATTAAAGATAATGTATATCAGTATGTGCTATATACTCTGTAAGAGTATTTTTGAAAAAGTATTTCAAAACAGAATGTAGTTTGTTGAGAAATTAGCTTAGAAAAATCAGACATAAACCAGCCCCTATTTTGTAAATTCTCTCAAATCTACCAAAGGATTCACATTTTTTACGATGTACTGGATGGGAAAAACAAAAATTTCAGTAACAAGTGACTCAAGAAGCAAGTATTTCATGGAAACTGATACAATGTATCAAGCCTGGGAAACACCTAATGTATTTTGGTTTTTTAACTTTGTATAGTTAACAATAGAGATCAACTTTGAAGCACAGTAGTTTATGGATCTCTAATAGATTGAGACAGGAAAGGTTACCCACAGACATCAGTTTTAATCTGCTCTAGTTTAAAAAAGTTGCTGCTGTCTTCTAGGTATAGAGCACCAAGACTCACAGCATTCTTTCTTGGCATTTTTGAATACGCCTACCGATGCTCTGGATCAATTTGAAGTAAGTATTAAGCTTTCCAGATACCCTCTGTGGTCAGTTTAAAATTCACTTTGAGATTTAAATTTTACTTGGAATAAAATGGTTTTTACTGCATCCACATAGGAGGAGCCAGAATCTTAACATAAGTAAAAGCAGTGATAGCAAGGCCTACATTCTGCATTTTTAGACAAAGTATTATCACACTTGCATTGAGCAGAACATCTAGGGAAGGTTGAGAGAAGAAAGGCATTGTAAGATTTTAAAGCAGTTTCAGCTCCTCTAAGCAGCAGTAAAGCAGAGCAGATCCCAAGTTCTGATATCATTTTGATACTCCTTTTTTTTTGCTCCAAAGCATAGAGCCACAGTATAAACAAAATACAAAAAAAGTAAAAATATCAAAGTTCACAATGGCATTATTGCTGGTTCCTGTACCAAATTGATTCATTTTCTTAAAAGTATACACCGAGAATGCTTTTTGAAAAAAAGTTCTGCGTAGACTCTGTTGGGCAGATTTTACAGTAATTATGTAATTAACACTTTGTTATATCTTACCTTATTATTTAAAATTTTTCCTGAAAAAATATCAATGCCATGTTATAAAGTAAATTTTTGTCTCTGAAAATTTAAGTTGGTGATTATGTCTTTATTCAGCAAGTAAGAATCACATATCTGTGTGCAAGGTGCATTCTAAGCGCTGGAGACAGCAGTATGTCCAAATATAGAGAGCCCCTTTGTTATAGAGAGCTCATGTTCCCATGGGAGAGCAAGCCCAGTTTTACTGACTCTTGCTGGTGATTCTCATGTGTGCACACATCTGACTTGATTACCAATGACTTCTCATGAGCTCCATTTTACTAATGCTTTAATTCAGTGTCCAAATTATATTTTCTTGCTTTGGACAAAGGAAAAAGTGACTCTTTAAAAAGTAAGCTCAGTTCCTGGAGAACAATGACAGTGACTGCTTTTTCCCATTTATTTATTTGAATTAATGTCATTTGCCTTTCAATTGTTTTACAAAATTTTTGATTTATTATTTGTTCTTATTAAATTGCTTCATCCATATTTTCTATTTTTTTTATTGCTGAATTCGTTAAATAGGATTCCTTTTCTTCTTCCTCATCCTCACTGATTGATTTTTTGGATGACGTAAGTTTTTGATTTTCAAACCAATGCATCCTGTTCAGTAAGAGATTGGTGAATTGATTTGAAGAATTTGCTAGTAATGCAGTCAGTTTCAGAAATATCACTTGGAAATTTAACTGTGGGCCAAAATGCTTCTTTCTTAAATGTAGTGGATTGTCATTATAAGACAGCAAAAAAATATACTTTGAAAAATACTTTGGCCATCAGAGAATCTCTGTGTTTCCATTCTTTGCAAGAATTCTAAAGACTAGCATGCTTATTTAATGAGTATTACTATGTATATAAATAATTGCTCATTCTTATTTTTCACAATGGTTTCTATTTTACTTTCCCCTTTTCTTTTCCACACTTTTAGTTTTTATTTTGGTTGAAAATAAGCCTCGTGACACAACGAGAGTAAAAATTGATTTTTAATGCTGACAGACTCTCTAATGTGGAAAGTGACTAGTGCACGTGAGCTGTGTGCCCTGAAATTGGCTGCATTATCATCTCCCCTCCTGCGTTATCTCTATGCCATGAGTAATTCAGAAGTTCCAACTGCGTGTATGGTCTTTCGTTCCTTTACACTACCTGCCACATTTATTCTTTCCCTCACACACTAGTGACACAGTGATCCTTGTCAGACAGCATTGTCTATCCTGTTCAACACTCAGGCTTTCAGAAATGAGAAATGAAATGTGCAGATGCAAATATTGTGCACAAACTTTTAATAAAACCAGAGAAATTCTTAAATATTTATTTCCAGTGATTCGATAAATAGAGCATTATATTCAGAAGAGAATTTAGCGTAATTTTCCACTAAAGAAACTTCTTGATAACAATTTTTTCAAATTTGGGCTGGTGGAGTGGCTCAAGTGGTAGAGCACCTGCCTAGTGAGTGTGAGGCCATGAATTCAAACCCCCAGTATTGACAAAAAAAAAAGATTTTTTTTTTTTCAAATTATTGAACAAAAAAGTGAGTTTAGTATGTTTAAAATATTCACACCAAAGCACACATATTCCCATTCAAAATAGGAACTGTCTCCTATTCCTGAGAGAATTTTTCTGGCTAGTTGTGGCGTTCATGGCATCACATGCTGCAGTCTGCTCAGTGTAAGAAATGGCGCTTCCTTACAGATGCCGTGCACATCAGAGGGCGGCAAGGAAGCTTGCGTGCTTGAGCTAGCTCTTCACACAGAAGCCATGTGTGCATTTCTTTCCAACACTCTCGCCCATCCTCTTCCCTCCCATAAAGTGATGGCAGAATGCAGGAGCAGTCTGCATTTGCAAATCAAGAGCCCCTCTGCACAGAGGTTGCTCTGCCAGCCCCACTCCTTCCTGCCTTCTTGTTCTTACCCTTTACTGTCTGCAGCACAAGCTCAGCTCCAACAAACACCTAAACTTTATGACGGTGCGGAGGAGCTCTCAGGCCTTGCTGAAAAGGACTTGAGCTAAGCTGCCAAAGCTTTGATTCATACTCCACTCTTAAAAGTTGTGGTTCTGAAACTCGATCCTCCCACTGATGGTGAGACACATAAGCTGGCTCCAACTCTGCCTGGTCCTCTTCCTACAAGCATAGTCTGGAGGAAACTAGCCAACCTTGCCATGCCTGAGTCTGCACATCTCACAAAACATGTAATAATAGTACTAAGCCAGGGGCTGGTGTCTCTCACCTATAATTCTAGCTACTTGGGTGGCTGAGATTGGGAGGATAGTGGTTTTAGATTAGTCCAGGCAAAAATAAATAAATAAATTCAAGAGCCCCCATCTCAACAGGAAAAAAGCTGGGCATGGTGGCTCTCACTTGTCATCCAAAAATAGGAGGATCTTGGGGTCTGTGTCAGCCTGAGCAAAAAGCGAGACCCTATCTCCAAGACAACCAGAGCACAAAGGATTGGAGGTGTGGCTCAAGTGGTAGAAAGCCTGCCTGAGCTCAAACCCCATGACCAACAAATAATATTAATATCCTAAAATGTAAAGAAACAATGTATACAATGCTTTCAACGACTGGTATTATCTTCTTAATAAGCTGGTTCCCCTCCTTCCCTTCTGTTTCTTTAGCTTCCTTTCTTGTCCATAAACTCAGTTTCACTTAAATGCTTTCTTAGCTCTTCACCACCAACAGTATGAGCTGCAGTACTTTCCTCTGGAATTATCAAATCCCATTACCATTTGAAATAACTTACCTGTCAGAGGGAAGGCCAGCACAAGTACTATGTAAAAACAAAAAACCATTCTCTGTTCTTAATTTGTATTTCATGGCAAAAACCTCCAGTTTCTTTTCAGAACTATGACCACCCTTCCCAGAATTACCCGTTCATTCATTTCATCCTCAAAGTTATGCTAGAATGATGTGCTGAACAGTAGTCAGTCTTTGCCAAAACTCAAGTTCTGTAGCTCCGTTCTGTACGGCATTTAGGTTTTTAAGGGACAATCAAGTCTTGGTTACTGTTTGTGCAAATCTGGTTGTGTCTTTGGGCATGATTCTTGTGTGGTCCCCTGTAATAAGCAGGTTCCAATGCTCAGCTTACCCCCTAGTTCCATCTTCTGGCCATTCTTTCCTTTCTTCTGTCTCATTGCTCCAGAAAAGACTATGTTGAAGAGCTAAAATCTAATCACAGCTGGAACTTGTAGATATAGAAGCGAGTAAGGCTTATATTAATCAAAACTGCGCAAGTCAGGTTTCTCTCAGTGCCCACACATCATGCATGTGTCCTTGTGCTGCCCTCAAATTTCTCAGAGCTTGCCACTACTGCATTCCTCCTTCAGAATTCCCTTTTGCTTCTCTCCTTTGTCCTCTTGTGCAGGCCTGTTAAAAATATTATTCCTTTACTAAAATGGTATATATACTCACCCTCCTATCCTTAATTTTTCCTAAGCATTTTTTGCCTATTAATGTTTTGCCTATTCAAAATTCATATGAATATTGGAATTTGGGGGCAATATGGGAAGATATTCAGAACGGGATGCCTTCCTTTTAAGTCACACTGTGTGGTCAACTCCTGTGTGTTAAGAATAGCCTTGACAAGATGCCCCACTACTAACGAATGGATCAAGAAAATGTGGTATCTATACACAATGGAATTTTATGCAGCCATGAAGAAGAATGAAATGTTATCATTAGCTGGTAAATGGATCGAATTGGAGAACGTCATTCTGAGTGAGGTTAGCCTGGCCCAACACACCAAAAATCCTGTGTTCTCCCTCATATGCGGACATTAGATCAAGGGCAAACACAGCAATGGGATTGGACTTTGAGCACATGATAAAAGCGAGAGCACACAAGGGAGGTGTGAGGATAGGTAAGACACCTAAAAAATTAGCTAGCATTTGTTGCCCTCAATGCAGAGAAACTAAAGCAGATACCTTAAAAGCAACTGAGGCCAATAGGAGAAGGGGACCAGGAACTAGAGAAAAGGTTAGATCAAAAAGAATTAACCTAGAAGGTAACACACATGCACAGGAAATTAATGTGAGTCAACTCCCTGTATAGCTATCCTTATCTCAACCAGCAAAAACCCTTGTTCCTTCCTATTACTGCTTGTACTCCCTCTTCAACAAAATTAGAGATAAGGGCAAAATAGTTTCTGCCGGGTATCGAGTGGGTGAGGGAAGAGGGAGGGGGGTGTGGGTGGTAAGGGAGGGGGTGGGGGCAGGGGGGAGAAATGACCCAAGCATTGTATGCACATATGAATAATAAATAAATAAAAAAAAGAATAGCCTTGGCAGAAGGGAAAGAGTATACATGACACCAGTCACTTCCTTCCCCTCAGGAATGTGAGAGAGGAACCAAGCAAAGCAGAATGCATACCTGACACTCTGTTTCTGTAAGTTAAGAGGATGTAGGCATGTGAACTTTTCCTGTGTGTAGTCATAGACTTTTAAGAGCAAAAGGAACC